TGAGAAATATTAACAATATGCCACCTAATAGAGGCTCAGGATCCATGATAAACATGTATGAAATCTAATACTAATTTGCCTACATAAATTAATTTACCTATATTTTCCAGATTCAAAAATTTAATAACAGGTGCATTATTTTTCAAAATGACCAAAACTATTAGTACTAAGTAGGTACACTAATCTTTTCAAAACAAAAAAAATAGGTACATTGATGTTCGAAAAATAAAACAAAACATACTAGACACATCATTTTTTACCCCTTTTGTTTTAAAGAAAACAAAAGCATGGTTTTTATTAAATCGCAATAGGGTACATTAATCTGAAAATTTATTGTTGAATTCAAAACGTTTTGAATTTTTATTCCTACGTCAACTAAAATTTCAAAGCCATTACACACGTTACAAGAAAATTAAAAAAGCTTTCCATTTTAATTTTGATATCAACATAAACTGCTATAATGACTTAACTGAGGGTAATTTGGGGAATCCAAATAATATTAAATATCACGCACAATCTCGATTAGGTAATTTGATTAGGTGGAGCTAGTCATTGGGTTTTTGTTAGAAAAATATATTATTGTGGGTTTTATGTAAAAAAAATTGAGTCTGAAGGGGTAAAGTCACATTTTCAGTAAAATAAATCACTATTTTATTAACTTCTTGACTTTGAGAATGTAAATGCAAGTCGTAGTTGGTTGGTATGAGTAGTGCGTAGTTTTGGATCAAAAGGGAAATTAAGGGTGTATGCCTTGTGCTGTGCTTGCAACCCCTTGTTCCCATCAATGTTATCTTATCAGGTGACTAACAAATCAAGGTGTTTGTTGTATTTGGATAAATGAAAATCCAAAATCAAGCCAGAAACGAACACTGCTGCATGCCTGCCAAGTAGCTAATCAAGATTTTCCATGCCACCTATGCATCTTGGCTGATTAGGTTTGACACGCAAATATCAATTGTAGGCAGAAGATTAAAGAAACCAAATTTAATTAAAGAGAGCTTGTGAAATAGAAACTGCATAATATATATATATATATATATATATATATGAATATTATTGATTGATAATTCCTCTCCAAAGCATTTCAATATCAAATAGATACATGAAATTAACATCATCAACTCATCAGCTAATTATAAATACACTCGGCGTCCGACTTCAGAAAAGACAAAAGCATCTCCAAGAAAAAATTAACAACAATTAATACTTAATTGAAACAAATAAACAGAAAATAATGGCAACAATTAATAATGTACGGCTCAATTCCGTATGCATACGCGTACGTACGTACGGCTGGTGAAGCATGCAATATATACAGTTGGCCTGGGAATGGGATGGACAGATACGATCGCCATCCATCCATCCATCTTTTATTAAGTTGGATCTCGTCCGTCCGTCCTTCACATCACACGATGATGATCAACTGGCTCCCAAATCATGGCAGTCAGAGAGTTACCAAAGTCCTTTACATCAAGAGGTCATTAACCCAGCCAAGATCCGGGTCCGAGTCACCGGCTGAGGTAAACCCTCCTCCGTTAATGATCTCCTTATTGTTAATGGGAATATTGGTATCACGATCAAAACCCAATAAGCTTCCATTTGTTGATGAGCAATTTTCATCCCAGTCAAAAAAATTGATTCCGCGTCCTCCTCCGCCTCCAAATGGTCGGCTTGGGCTCGGAGTGGACGGCGAATGAATAAACTGTTGTTGCTGCTGCTGCAGATCGTCATCAGCAGCAGCATAATTCATATTCATATCAAATGAAACGTCCACCCACCTCTTCTGAGAAGCTGCAGCAGAGGCAGCGGCAGCTTCATGGAATTTCATGGCCTCCAAGGAGCTCATGAGCTCAGCAACCACTTCGTTGTAGCTCATCAACCCACATGTGCTTGCATGCACCTGATCCAAACCCCCCAACCCTAACCCACCACAGGGAGACATAACTGGCGAATTATGAAACTCGTCCACCGACGAGTAGTGTTTAGCTGCTGGCGACACAGGCGGCGACAAATGATGAGACATACCGCCCAACAGAGTCGAAGTTGGAGACGACGTCGCCCCTGCTGAATGACAGAACAAACAACAGTACTGTTTATTGTTGTTCGAACAGGAACGGGGCGATCCCACCGATGAGTTGTTCAGGTGGTACTTCTTCTTGGAACTAGCCATGGGGGAAAGCACCTGATCCGCCGGCAAAACCCTAAGTTGACGTGGCGTGTGCGCAAAGAAGCACACCTTCCTCTTGCAGTTCTTCCCGTCTTTGCAAGCCTCAGTTCTATACCTCGCCGGGTGCAGCCAGCACTCAAAGACTCCGTGCGAAAACTCACAGCTGTCGCCGCGGCTGCATGATCCACGCCGATAGTCCGCGCACACGGTGCCTGAGTAGTTATGACGGCGCGGGTCCCTCCGGCGAGCCTTCTCTCCAGGGTGGGCAAAAGGGCAGTCAGTCCAGTCGTGGCTGCGGCTGCGGCTGCAGCGGCGGACCTTGAACTCAAACATGCGGAAGTGGTCGGAGGAGTAGGGATCGACCTCGTCGTCATCAGAGTCATCAGAGCCATCAGAGCCGGTGTTGTAGGGAAGGAATTTACGGAGGAGGGCCTCGTCAACGGAGGAGAAGCGCGGGGATCCGCAGTCAGCTGCGGCGTACATGTCAGAAGAGGGAAATTCTTGGGGGCTGCGGCTGGTGAGGAGCTTCCTCGGTGGGACGTCAATGTTGGTGTCCCTGAGGAGGGTTTTCTTGAATGATAGGAGCTGGTGGGAGGGGTGGAACTTGTGCTGCTCGGCGCAAACACTACTCATCTCTGATTGATATGATGGATGAAAACCCTAATTAACAATAATAACAATAACGTGTGTGTATAAACCGAATTGATTCCCTAGCTAGAGAGAGAGTGGTGGTGGTGTTTATGAGAGGGGAACAAGAGGGTAGATTATATAGGTGGTTGAGGGAGAGAAGCTTAGTGAGAGAGAGAGAGGGATGATCGATGACGAGGACAGAGAAAGGGGGATGGGCAGAGAGATGCGTGGCTGCATAGCATTAGGGTTGAGCATGCAAAAAGGGTATGTGGCAGCTTCACAATTCACTTGTCACGCAATAGCTTGGCTATGTGTTTGCTTATTGGAGCATCTCCGTTTTCTCACAACATGTTTTTGGATTTGGTTTCAGAAGCCTACACCTATTACATTACATGCACATAAAGAGGTGTTAAAGTTGTATATTATTTCTTAAAAACACACGGGGAATGAATACGAGATTCAATCCTTAATCTTTTACAAAATTTAATACGAAGAATCTATTTCGTATGTGTTGTAGTAAGACATTAAGGTCAGAAATTAGGATATGATAATGTTAGAAAAACTACATTGGAAGACTTTGTGAATTTTAATGCTAGCCTTTTGAATTTGTCTTTACTTTTGGTTAGCTACTATCACAAGCAACATAAAAAGGTAACACACTACCAGGCTCAATGTTCTAAAAAACGCTAGACACTAGTTGGGCGATGGGTAGGGGTCTAGTACTTAGACGGCCTAGGCGGATTTATGTAAATTTATTATATATCTTGTAAATAAATGCTTATTTACACTTAAAAAACTATATTTGTATGGATAATAGAAGAATGATAAAATGCAAAAATAGAAGTAGAAGAATACACCAAATACATCCATCCAACAAGTACAATATTTAAAAAACAGTAAGCATATAATCATAATGAGAGGTATTCTTGGATGAACTAAATTCTTTTTATTCATGATCCTTGCATTGGATTGGACATAAACTAAATTATTTAACGTTGTTGTATTTAGTTTATTTCTTGTTTCTTTTTTTTTTTTTTTTTTTTTTTTTTTTTGTATATATCCCCTCAAAAGTTCTCCAATTCATTTCACAATTGGATGAACTTGTAGTCAATCCATCCTTTGCAAATTTGGTACACCATTTCCATAAGTATACCACCATGAAACTAAAAAATAAAAAAGCACACAAGTAATTTAAAAAAAAAAATTCAAAGCCGTGTAGGTGAGGCCTAGCCCGCATCCTAGGCGGCCGCCTAACTCCATACCAATTTTTTGAAACGATTTGTCCTGAATCACGGCAGGTCAAGAACAAGTGGAAGAACGAGCTACACAGTTGCTACAAGACTTTTGAAAGTCATGAAGAAGTGGAAGTACGCGCCGCACAATTACTACATAACTGGTGCTTCTTACAGAAAGTATTTTAGGTATTTTTCTAAACTTTATTTTTCATTTTTACTAAGAATTGATTTCAAAAATATTTTCAACAAAAGAATTTTTTCAGCCATTTTAAACATACTTACAAACCAACCCTAAAATAGTACACACAAATTCGTTCAAGTCAGAATGCAAATGCAAGATTAAAACAATCTTATAACCATGAACTAACATTAAAAAAATAGCAACACACAGTGTACGACAATTTTCACGAGGTAAAACTAAACCTATCCTCTAGAGAAAATTTTCGGGCACTTTGCTAGTCACAAACAAATCCACTATAAGCCGAACAAATACAAAATATTAATTGTTGACAGAAATTAATCTTACTAGTACATCTACTAAAACATAGAATCATAGGTATGTCCTCCACGCCCATGCTACGCTTGCGAGTTAAATTAATGTTACCAGAAACTAAATTTTTTTTTAAATTTTTTTACGACGACTGATTTACAATACGGATAAGGGGAATAAATTGGTATTAAAGTCATCATCTACAAATCCGATTCAAAGACTTCTTAGTTACAAGAAAAAATAATATCACTCAATCATAATACTAAGTTGTAGCAACATCGTACTAATGAAGAGAGATAAATGACATTTTACAGTGTTCGAACATAAAAAACAAAAACTAAACCAATCTTGTGAATGAAATGCCCATCACAAGGCCCAATAAAGACAAATGAACACAACCCAAGCCCAAATTAGTTAACTTGAACAAGAAGGCGAAAAAAACATAACCAAGCAAGCAGCAAACTCAGAAATTGAAATTCACAATTATTCGCAACCAAACGAATATGAAATAAGAAAATAAAAAAAGAAGTCGAGTAAACCGCATCAACAAGGCTTTTCCCATATATATTCCATTTCCCATCGCAAGAAACGATAGAGCTTGCATTGTTATTTGCTAAAAGGAAAGAGCAGGATGTACAAATCCAGGCTGCAGGAGCTCTGCCAGCAAAGGAAATGGCGGTTGCCGGAGTACAACTCCACCAAGGTTGGCCTCGACCATAACCCTCGCTTCTCCGCCACCGTCACAATCAACGGCCTCGACTTCCACACTGCCGATATCTTCAGGTCCTCCAAAGAAGCCCAAAACGACGCTGCTAAGCTCGCATTCGACCACCTCTCTGATAATCCCCAACCCAAACCCAGGAATCCCATTCCCAGCCCCTCCTCTTTCCCTCAACCATGTCCTCCCTCTTCCTCCTCCGCTTCCTCGTTCTCAGGTATACGCTAGATCCCAAAACGACGCCGTTATTTACTTGATAATTCTGCCTATGAAAGGAAATCTTTATTTACATGTATTTTGGATTTTTCTATTTTCCTAATCCTGTTTGCATATCCTCAATTGAATGCCGAAATTTGGAAGGTTGATTAACTATGTTAGTTACCAGTTGAGTTTGATTATCTAGGAGATAATTTATGTCTAATTCGAAACTGAGTTCAATATATTACTTTGTTTTCACATATGGGTTCTGTTATTCCAGCGCTTCCTTCGACCCCGGCCACAGATTCCAATACTACACGAGAGATAGAGATAGTGGAACCGAAGACTCAAGAGATAGAGATAGTGGAACCAAAGATTCCTCAGCTGCCACTTCAGTGTAGTGGTAACGTATCAGGTGCTGCTTATCAGGCGAATGCCACCTTGTCGGGTAAGATCGGTATATTCTCAGGCGAATGCCACCTTTCAATGAGCCTTAACGTTTTGAAGATTATTTTGCAAATAAAAAAAAGATATCTTGCAGAAGCTTCTCCTTTAATTTAATTATTGGTGGGAACCGAGCCTAGAAATAACATTTTTTATCTCAATTTTGGAGCTAGCTTTGCTAGAGACTGTTGAAAATTAAACGCTAATTTAAACGGATTTGCAAAACATAAATGGGACAAGCATATAATGCCTTAAATTCTTTAGCGTATGTGAATTGTCTGAACTTCGTCTTGATTATCATTAAGTCGATTTACAACTAATACTCTTCTAATATGGGGTATAGATTTGCAACATTTGTACAAGAATCAACTGCAAACTTATGCACAAAAGAGAAATCTGCTTCTACCTGTGTACTCTTGTGAGCGGGAAGGTCCACCACATAACTGTCGTTTCAAGTGTAGGGTAACTATTGATGGACAAACATATGAGGGTCAAGAGTTTCTTCCCACACTGAAGGATGCTGAGCATGCAGTTGCAAAAGCTGCTTTAATGTCCCTTCTTCCAAATGGAGTTCAAGAGGTGGAAATTTATGTATTATGTGCTCTTCGTGTTTTTGTTAAATATGATAGTTTAGAGCATCTCTAAATATCTTTTATCTTTGTGTGTTTTTCTCTTTTTCTTTCCGTAGGATGATTCTGGTTTATTCAAAAACCTTTTACAAGAACTGATTCAGAAGGAAGGTTTTTCTATACCAATCTATAGCTCAAGGATGTCTGGCGAACCTCACATTCCAGTTTTTGTTTCATCTGTGGAGATAGAAGGAGAAACTTTTATGGGTCAAGAAGCAAGAAGCAAAAAGCTGGCAGAGTTGAGTGCAGCAAAGGTTGCTTACTATACCTTGAGAGAGCGTAAGTGTATCTTTTTAACTTCAAATTAGTGTCAGCTGCTGGGTATTTATATTCTTTGTAATTTATTACAATGTTTCTCCATGGAAGTTGAGTGCTTAAAACAGTTATTTTACTTCTATTCTTTTATTTATTCAAGTTGTGTTTGTTTTTTTCAATGCATTTGTTACATCAAATTCCATGAAATATGTTTTTTTATAGGTTTTATGGACTTTATTCAGTTTCATATCTACAAGATGTGCTTTGCAATAATTCTTTTACAAGATGTGCTTTGCAAGACCTTTTCCATTAGAAATAATATCTGATGAGATGGAGAAGCAAAAGATTACGCATCCTCACACTTGCTGAAGAATAGATGTGTTGTATGCTTCACAACATTCTGAACCTTCCTCTTCAGGTAAATCAAGTCAGCTACCTTTGGTCCTGTCCTCTCGGAAAGGGCAAGAAGCTTCAGAGATCTTATCTTCAAGTTCCCAGTCAAATCCAGCTTCTGTTCAACATCAACAAGTCAGGCGTAATGCACATGCGATCTTGTCTCCGAATACGAATACTAAAGAGAAGAAAAAGGAGAATAATGGTATTGTTTTTCCTGAAAACTCTTTTCTATTTTTATACCCTACCGCTGTACTATCATTGCTTTCATATGTTTCAATTTTTTTTTTTTTTTTTGTCGGGACAAAATAAGTACATCAAATTAGAGTGTGCTGGTTAGCTATAAAGGTCTGATTAAACAGTTATTATGTTTTTTAACTAAACTCTCAGCTCTCTGAAAGGAGCTCTGGTTTTAAGGAGAGTAGCAGCAACTATTCTCTATTTGCCACGAATTGCATTTGTGTTGGACAGCTCAAATTCTTTTTATTTGTGAAAATATTAATAGTTACCTTAAGCTTAAAAAATAAATAAAATCACGACCGAGAACCAGATCCTTCAACCCATTCAGAACCCAATAGGTTTTGTCGATGGAGGAGGCAGAGAACTTTCTGGCATCTTTTACTATTCAGATGAGGTATTAAGGCATGTTATATTTCTAGCCGCACGATTTCATTAAAACAGATCAGACGGCTGAGAGTGTAGTCCCATTTTTTGGCAAAAATGGGCATCCCTTCCCTCAAGGGGTATTTGTTCATGTTTCTTCACTCAATCAATTGTTAGATTTTGGAGGGTTCTCTTAGAATTCTAGATGTCACTCAGTGGTTAGCTTTCAGAAAATCCCCATGATGTCTGGGACGAAACAAAGACCTTTCCACTCTCTCTCTCTCTTTTGAAATGTTGTTTTACCATTTATGTTTTTGTTAATACTATAAAGAGTATGCCAAAAAATTGAGCTCTTGTGCCGAAATTCAAGATTTGTGAGAGTACTCATGGTCTTGCATATGTGAATACTTCACAATTGCTGCATCTTGAAAGGTTCAGATGCAAATAAGCATCTATTGGAAAGCTATTGAAGTATAATTCATTAGAAAAGCAAATTCTGTATTGAATTTATAACTTGTTTTTCCTGCATACATTAATTAACATGTACATGAAAGCTACTACGGAAACACTACAAATGTGCTCCAAAGACATTTGTAGTGCATGCATTCTTAATAAATTAAGTGCATGCATCCTTGGAACTTAAGTTTCTCATCCAAACATAGGGTAAAGAAACGTAACGTCATCTCAATCTGTAATTTAGATGTCTGATGAAGTACATACCCTCTGTTGACTTTGTAGTTGACTACTTCTAATAATTCAGTTTATTAATACAAACAATCGTGCTTACAACTCCGATTGATACAAAGGAGACGATAACAAGTAAAGAAAACAAACCCAGACCCCAAGTATCACAGAATTTCATGGCATTGCAGGACTAACTCAGAATTTAAATGGGGTATGAACTATGAAGGTGCATAAGAGATGTTGATATTGAAATATCCTTCTCTCTATTTGTTATATTTTTGTATGATTTTGTCTTCATATACTCCATAAATATCACAATCTTACACGTAACTGAAGTTTTCAAATCACTGGGCTTTTCTTCTTTGATTACAGTAACAGCACAAGGAAAAAGTCAACACTCTGTATCTTCTGGACCTTTCACCCCTACATCAGGTGGGGAAGGATTCTCTTCCTCTTATGTTGTACATGGCCGTGCGCAGGAGATGAACAACGGTGCTAGCCCTGTGTCCCAAAATGGCTCCACTAATTGCATTATGGACTCTTCTCTTGACCCACCAGCTAGAAGGAGTATGTATAACAAGGTCTCTGTTTACCCACGCAAGTCAAATATGGAATATCCTGAAGGTACCACTGTGTTGCCCATGAGCGATCAAACGTGGGTTGCTTGCTCACACAGATGAAGGAAGATGTTTATATAGGCCTGACTAAGTTCCTTGTTTAACTACGAGAGACACATAGGCTAAGCTTACGTAGTTATGTGCTTAGATTGTGTTGTGCTGCTCCATGCATGAACCTACTGGACACGGTATGTCTATATACAATAGCCGTTGCCTTTCGTGACTAGTGTATAAATGTGCTTTTCTATCTAAGATGCATTTCCTCTAACATTAGACCGAGTTATGTTCATGTTTTGGGTAAATATGCTTGCTATCAAAGGTGCATTTCCAATAAAATAGGTTTTGCGCGTCTTATAATTGAAAAACTAGGTTACATGAAAGAACCAGATGAAAGCTGGAGATAATATTGGATTTGCAAATAGAAGCAGATGGAGAAGTTTCTGCCAATTCTTTCGTACAGCTTATGCACGTCGATTTTTTCATTGGTTTCTTGTTGAAATTTGGTTAATTCAACAAAGCGACGGGGCAAAGCGACGGGGATTAATTTCCTCCAACTCTCACATGCAGATTCTCCTAATTTTGCTTAATTCAGACCGCACACTGAGCAATAACGAGTGAGAAGTCAATTTTATAGCAAGAAAAGAACCGAAAGACAAGTTTAGCGTGAAGTGGCAAAAGTACAACAGTTGCATGTTCTCCTATTCTTTTTTTCCCTTTCGTTTTTGTTTTCTTTAAATAGTGGCACGAGTTTTTTTTTCTTAAAAAATAAAAAATAAAAAACTAATTAAAAGAGTTTGAAAACTTTGAGTTTTAATGATAAAGACAAAATAAAGAGTAAAGTAAATAGTACCAGGCTTGACTTTTTAATGTAAAAATATGATTTTTCGTTAAAGTGAACAGTACCAAAAGTTTTTCGTTAAAGTTTTCAAATAAAAAATCATACGAGTTATTTTTGTAGTTATTTTTGTAAAACCTTGTCTTGTATCTGCATTTGGGCGGGCTTGGTTTTAAGGGCCCATTTGTGTTCAGTAATACGAATAAAAGACCCTGTTTGATTGGGTAATATAGTTGAAGATTACGACGTTTGATTGATTTCAATGGGATGAGTTGTTAATTTGTCCACTATTTATTCATGTTACTTTATGAATGCTTGCATAATCTGTATCTCATTTCACTAACTCTTTGGGTGCATTTTTGATAAATTGTCATTGTTTTTTCTGTTAATTTTTAAGTCTCTATGTGTGTTGTTTACCCCAGACTTTGGACATCAATTTGTTTTGTTTTCTTAGTGGTTTGATGCATTGTGTTGTGTTTTTCGGTCAATTGACTTGGTTCATATGATTAATTCCCATAGTTTTCATGTCATATTGGTTGAATTTATTTTAACTAGATTTATTTTTGTTGCAACCATATCTCATATAAACAACAAGTGGAAGGTTTACAGGATATTAACCAATTAGTTGGGCTATTAGTTCCTTTACTTTGTGATGTCCCTAGTGTGAGTGAAAAAATGTTCAGGTAATTTATAGTTTAGGAAGATTTAACGATACCTTTTCTATGTGCTTTACTTTATTATGTTTTGATAAACGGAGGTTCAGCAACAGGTTACCGAAATTATCACTTATATATATAGCCTCCACCACAAAGTAATTTCCTTAGAAATGTGTAGTACTACTACTACTTTGTCTTCTGGGTTAGCGTTCTCTAATTTAGATTAGACATTAGGGCTTTGAGCTTGGTAAGGTTTCTTTTCTTGATGTACCTCAATTTTTTTATTCATTGTTTTTCTTTTTGGAGTTTTTGCTTTACAGATAAATTCTACATTTAAATTCTCTTTTTGTGATCCTGCAGATTTTGTCTTTGTAATCAAATAGTTGATATCGCTGACTGATTTCATTCTTCTTCACTTTCAAGAAGCACCAGTGTTTAATGAAGGTATATAATCCGTTTAGACATTTAGTTTTCAATGTATCAAGTATTTTGTGTTGTTAGTTTTCTGTTATTTTTGTTGTTGCTTGCCTTTTTTTTTTCTATTTTTTTTTCATTTTAATCCACTTCTCTTTCACTTTTGTGCAACCCATTGCCCTCATTTTATAATCTTTCATTGGATAATTTGATCGCCCAATCTATTCTCAAGAGATATCTTTGGTTTTAAACTGTTGTAACCAGTTTAATCCTTAAATTGTTCAATGTTAACCCCAACATTTTATTTTTGTTCTATACGCATTGGAACCAAACTTAATTGGTGCTAAAAACGCATAAAACCTTTAACTATACCATGAATGCAATGTTAGCCAGTAAATAATTATAAAAGTAACTTCGCCATGGGCTATAATCATATCCAGCATCTTTCCATGATTGTTACCAACCTTTAAAATCAAATTTAGCATCAGTATATTTTACCTCTCTGTTTCAATCTTAACCACTAGCGGCTACAATTTTGTATTAATCACCATTATCGATTGTTCTTAACATATGATCATCAGATCTCAATATGTCGACCGTCGTTTTCCCTACCTTATCTTATGTGAAACGATTATATTTGCACTCACTTTTATTCATTGGAAACAGTATTTGTGTCTCTCCATATCCAATCCTTGGTGCAAAATGTTTACAATTTGATAAGTTTCAGTTTCCTACAGCCAAATTGAAATCAATCTGAAAGAACTGCGTTTATTCGATGTCTTCAAGGTATAACATTGATCACTCTCAACTTTTAATTTCTTTTTCAACATTTTTTTCCTTTTGCATTTCTAAAAAAAACCTTTATTAAATAGATACTGATATGGTCACTTACAGCATAAAAAAACTTCATTTTTTTTTTGTCAATATTTAAGTTTTTCTTATTTTTCTTCGTGAACTAGGTCAGCCCATAACTCTGTAACCATCAATGTATATAACTTATCCATTTTTATCATAGTGGTATCATGAACTAGGTCAGCCCATACTTTTATTTTTTTGAGGTGGGATTGGTCTTAAAACACAAGAACCAAAATTTAATTGATCCCATTGTTCTGTACACAAATTCCATCGACCCAAAAATCTCACATGGAAAACAAACGTATTCATCTCTTTTTTTTTTTTTTTTTTCTGCTTCTCCTTAGTTTTTACCTATTTTTTTTCATTTTTTTTTCACAGTTTCCTTCATGATTGGGTTTAGCACGCAGTTTTTAAACCGGTTAAACCATATTCGTTTTAAGTGTTTTGCTTCATTATTTAACATTCATTTGGATTTGTGATTGATATCAACTTGGTCAAGTTTTCATTATTTGCAAAGCATGTTTAGAGTAATGCCTTTAAATTGTATCAATTTTTCAATGAAAAATCTTAAATGCCTTGACATTTATCCAATGGATAAATTCATTATATTCTTTTCGGTGAAACACTAGAGGTCCTATACACCAGTCTCTCTTTTATCATCATTAGCAAACCTTTCTTAAATTGTTCAATGTTAACCCCAACATTTACTAATGAAACGATTGTTTGTTGACAGTTTGACCTGAGTACCTCTAGAAAATATCTATGCATGGACCACTACTATAACCTGTTCGCAACCGATGAACTTCAAATTATGGTGCGTATCGCGTCATTTTGCCTTTCTCACTATTTATTCAGCTATTACATATCCAATCGTAATGATTCCTACAGAACAATGTTTACTTTTCCCGGCAACCTCTTAATTTTACAATGTTTTACAATTTCTTTTCTGCTGCATTATAATAGAAATGTGAAGAATAAAGTCAATTTAAAAACCTAATATCTATCTATGTTCTTCGTTGTCCCAGAAAATTTTTCATTATATGAAGAAAATAGATGGATGCTCCACCCATCCTGCAGAAAAAAGGTATACAACAGTACAGCACCGCAGCAACGCGCGGGCAGCCTAGCTAGTATCTACTAGAAGTCATCATCTGTTTTGACTACAATGCAATGAATCTGGTTGATTATTTCTACAATTTGGAGAAGACATGCTCTTAACTCAAGTTCTTGACCAGAGGCTAGTATTGCTTAAAGTTTGTGGTATGTATACTAGTATTGCTTGGAGTTTGTGGTACGTATAACTACAATCATAATTTGCAAATCACTTTACCTCTATCCTAACCGAGCTTCAACACTAGGAAAATGGATATGGATTTCGAAGAGGAGTAACTAAGACAAGCACGACATGTGCTCCAAAAATACACTACACCATACTCCCAGTGTGTAGGAGTTTGTGGTATGACTACAATGCAGACATCCAAACATCCAATTTTCTCAAGATTTGATTGTACTAGGGAAAACACCTTTTCTTCATTGCAAGATGGACACGATGGTTATATATTTACTAGAAGTCATCATCTACTTTGACTACAATGCAATGTGATTGTGTCTATAATGCAATGTCCTTGACAAAAGGCTAGTACTACTTGGACTTTGTGGTATGTATAGCTACAATCATACTCTACAAACCAGTTTTTCCCTATCCTAACCGAGCTTCAACACTTGGAAAACGAATATGAAATTCTAGGAGTACAACAAGCACGGCATGTGCTCTAAAATACACTACACCACATACTTCCAATGTGCTAGGAGTTTGTGGTATAACTACAATGCAGACGTTCAATTTTCTTAAGATTTGATTGTAATAGGGAAAACACCACTTCATTGCAAGATGGACACGATGCGCATATATCTACTACAAGTCATCATCTGTTTTGACTACAATGCAATGAATCTGGTTGATTGTTTCTACAATTCGAAGAAGACAACTCTTAACTCAAGTCCTTGTCCTCGCAGAGCTTCAACACTAGGAAAATCGATATGGATTTCTAGGAGGAGTACAACAAGCATGACATATGCTCCAAAAATACACTATACCACATACTTCCAATGTGCTAGGAGTTTGCGGTACTCAAGATTTGATTGTACTAGGTGAAAACACCTCTTCTTCATTGCAAGATGGACACGATGGGCATTTATCTATTAGAAATCATCATTTGTTTTAACTACAATGCAATGAATCCAGTTGATTGTGTCAGTTAATCAAATTGTGGAGCTCCAACTACATGGGTATTGTGTATGCTGTCGTTATATAGAATGGGTGCATATATGTATATGAATGTAATTATAAGAACAAAATAGAGGTAATTTCGAATTTTTTATCTAATTACTTCCTATCATAAATAATGTCTTTGATCTCATTATTTCATACTACAAAGACATGTTATTTATGATGTGAAATAATGAGATTAAAATTTTGAAATCACCTCTATTTCGTTCTTATTACAT